ATGCATTGCATGATGAGTCAAACGGACGTAAGTATTATGATGGCTTTTGCCTGTAAGTACTTACCAAAAAGATCAGATTAAATCCAAATAGGGTGTACTTCACCGCATTTGCGCTGCCCGTTAGAAGCGACATATTGCAGATTTTTAACTCTCTCTGAGTCTGAAAAAAAATAATTATTCATTTAAATTTTCTTGTATATATATAGTTGTAAAAAATAAAATCGATTATTTATCTCGCATTAGTTTTACCTGCAAGGTCTAAAATAAAAATAAAAAGAAACACAACCACCGCGTATTCAAGTCAAAACGTTAATAAATGGCCGACCAAAAGAAACGAAAGTCAGTTATTCTTCCTTTGTTTCTAATCACAAAATAATAATAAAATGAAAACAAAAAAAAAATAATTGCGTTGTCTTATCGGCAAATGATATGGCAAACACTTTATTTAAGCCAAATGTGGTCAACTAGCAAGTGGCCTTTGTTGTTGTTGCTGCTCTTGAGACCACAATTTCAGACAAGATAAACTCTATTTGGGCGCGATAAGATAATGGCACCCGAGCGTAGCACTCCATTTAACCGCATAAACTGAGCAAATTATTGATGAACTTAAGAGCTCTTAACTTGGATACATGTACATTAAGTATACGCACCGGTACGCAGAAAATAAAAGATCCAGAAATTCCAAGCAAAGTCAACTTAAAAAAAAAAAAAAGATTTGACTTTTACTAAATATAAATATGGCACAATGTTTATGCACTTGTAAAGAGTTCTATAAATATTACCCGAAATATATATGCTTGATCAGTCGGATCCGTTTGTCAGTCTCTCCGTCTGTCTCTATTTTAGAGTCTCAGCTTTAAAGCTATCGTCATGAAACAGCAAAGGTACGAAACAATTTGAAAGGTCGACATCTTTATATGAGAACTTTTCTGTTTTCCAGATAAGTTGACCAAGTCCAGCCCATATATAATATGGCTCTATAGGAAGAATGTGAGGCAACATCTTCTATTTGTTAAAACGTAACACACAACTTAAAAATTAGCTTCACTATTCTCTTCACATATCTGCAATTCCGTAAGCCATATGTCCGCAAGGGTATTTAATATTCGGCGTGCCGTAGATACTAATTCCTTCTTGCTCGCCATATCTTTATTATGATTTAATAAGAGAGCGATAGTATTAAAAACTTTAGTTTAGCCCCCTTTTCAAAAGTCTTATCAGATTTTTTGTTGCTCTCTCTCTTTTATTTACTTTTTATAACTGATGACAACACTTAAATTCTGTCAAAAAGCATTTTTTCGTTTATTGTTTACGTCAAATTTGATTGTAATCGTTGTATTTATGTTTATTTGTGAACTTCAGTGTTTATCCAGCGCATATGTTTACAATACAAATACAAGTGCTTAACTGTAATTCAGTATAAGAAAATATTTATACGTTCAGAATTTCAAAAGAGTTTTAATGTTCTGGTTATTGAATATACGAAAAGGGTTACTTAATTGTTAATTTTGAGAATTGTTTCAAAGTACTTTATAAGTATTTATTCAAAAGAAAACAAAACGAACATATAAATGTATAAAACTTTTTCTCAGATAATTATTAAAGTGTTTTCTTTTTGAATATATTTCCCAATAAAAAATTAAACAATTGTCTTATTCTTTCTACTTCGATATATACCGTATCATGAAATAAAAGAATTGTGTTTCTCTGTATACTTTCTTTAATTACAATTTAATAAATTTGTTTATATTCAAGTTCATCTATGCTCAATTTAAGTAAACATTTTTAATTTTATGCATTTGTTATGGGTTAATGTTTTTATTATTCTCATCACAGCTTGCTGAACTATTCAATCGACATTGCGTACTCTTCTAGAAGCTAATAAATTTTTTAATTCATTGAACGTGACAATAAAAAATGTTTATATTAAGATGATGTATGAAATATATTTAAATATTAATATATAATTTAAGTATATGTTGAAATGTGTTTTATGCATGTCTAAATACATTTTTGAAAACAAAATATTGTAACCAATTAAATGCGACTCAAAAGCTTTTCACGAAAATTAAAAACACACTAAGGTTTCACAATATCTGATCGGATTGAATTATTTCAATGCACACGTGGACACATTTCATTTCAAGTTCATAGATGGGCAATAGAATTTATAACGATTTTGTTTTGGTCACATTTTTATATTGGTGGTTGTCTTATCACATGGATGACTCATGTCGGCTGAACTAATGAGTTCCAAAAGAAACTGTTGCCAAAATTGGGTAAATATTATACATTTAAATCAATCTATCTTTCAATTGACATGTCTCAAAGCGTTCACAGATTTTTGTTTGGGGTTTTCTTTTTTTTTATTTATTTGTAATGTATTTAACTGGGAGAGCCGCTCGGCACACGTTGCTCAGTGATATATCTACTCACTTTACGGCTCGATGAAACTGGCGCTGGCAACGACGGTTGGGCGACAACTGAGCGGCCCCTTTAGTCATATACTGAAAATCGCATTGACGTGCGCCGTTCTCAACTTGGTTTATCAACACCCATACATATCTAGTACACTTACATCTATAGAAATATATATATATATTTTTAGAATATACTTATACATTAATAAGTATATATATAGGCCGGCACATACGTAAATGTTTACCTACATATGTAGATGGCCGCAGTGGCGAAAAGATAAAAACGCTTGCACGAGTGGTCGACGTACCTCGCCAAATTCTAACTGTATCATTAACAAGTTAGAATAATCGAGTATATTCGACTTTGAGATACACTTTACACTGCATTTATAGTATGCAGCTAACTAGGTTTCATATAAACTCATTATAAGTTAGAGTTCAAGAAATTGCACTCTTTTATTTAATAGTTTTTTTTTCATTACTTGTTATTTTATAAATTTAAAGTAAATACTGTATACCAATAAATAATACTCGTGCAATCTATGCTATAGGGCATTTACATTTGTGAAAACATTATCTGAAAGTAAAAGTTTTTCACTTTCTATCACTATACTATTAAATATTGAATGGGCGTATACGTTATATGCGTCACTGATATAAATAAATAGAAAAATCGATGCTAAATTTGACACGCCCCAAATAGATACAAATATTTTAAACTATTTCCTAAGCTTTCAACTGCATTGATTAAAACAAAGTTAATTAAAATTTTTAAATTTTTTAGAACTTCGAAATTTTTCCCATATTTTCATTTTCTTTTAAAAGAAAAAACTCAAAAGACAACCGCCAAAACTCTTATTGTTCATTCAGAAAATATTTATTTTTATATTAAAAAATAATAAATCGAAATGTAGCATAGAAAATCTTTACAAAAAACACAAGTTTATTTTTATGTGCTAAATTTTTTTTTTAAATAAATGTATAAATGAAATGTGGTCTTCGCATAGGCAAAATATAAAACTTATAGACTACTAAAGAATATATATGAGTATCATTTGTTATTTTAATATTTATATGATTTTGTTTTTGAAAATTTCATAAACATATGGGATAGTTATGTTTTGGGTTAGTCAATGTATAGGGCGGGTGTGGCATAGTTTAATACTTGAATTTGGAGCTTATGCCGAAATGTGCGCAAAGTTTGATCAGTTGATAAATTAGTTTCTTTATAAGTATAAACATATGTTTGAATGCGGAAGGAACTGCTTTTGGAAATTGCACGCATAAAGTGTTAATGGGTTGATTTTTAGTAAAACGTTTCTGTTTCTACATCATGTTTGCCAATCACTTGTAATTACATTGAAATTTTTGTAAACGTGTTAAAAATTTCAAAAATTACCAGATTTATACATATAAAATTGACATCGCTAGCGCCTTGTTTAAAGCACGCCATACAAATAACTACATATATGAGTTAGTCTATTATTTGTTAGTTTAGTTTTAGTAGTTTTCGTTGCTTCGTTTATTCAGCTATTGGTTCCCTCTTAACTATTTCCTATCCTTGCCATGGCGATCGCGCTGATGCTTTGAAGCCGCGATGGTCGTTGTGGTTAGACTGTGCACATGGTGCTGAGGCGGTTGTCCTCCATGGTGCTTGCTGCCACTGCTGCTGTGGTGGTGATGATGATGATGTCCATTCAGTGTGCTTTTACCGTGTCTGCAGTAAGAGAATAAGATACTCAAGATTAGCACAACTTGCAGGATTATTATTTGTTATTAAAGTTGTTTTTTTTTTTTAATATGCTTGCTACTTGTTTTTATATATATACAACATATCCTTTTTATAGAGTAAACCAATGTTCTACTTCCACTACGTAGTTCCAGTTGCTAAAGTACCGCTTTTAGTTTTCTGGTACATAAGAAAATAGAGTAGAGCGAGCGATGTTGATGTTTATTTGTTGCCAGTTCATTTCCAATTTCATTGATGATATTTTTGATAGTTTGTTTTTTTGTTTTCTTTTTTTTGCAGCATGTTCATAGTCAGTTTTTAGAATCGATACTAAAGTATACTAGAGAGTGCTACTAGAGTGTGAGCGGAGCATTAGATAAAGATTTTTTAGCGTGTTTAGTTTTTTAAAATCATGCAATTAAAGGTATTTTGTTTAATCGAATTATAAAACAACTACTGTTAAACTTAAATAATATCTTTAATACTTTAAGAAGAAACCTAAGGATTTTGCCTCCACTTGAAATGTGTGTCTATATCATTTAAGATTATAAAACTCTATATAATTATAAATTGAAAGCCTTTTCTGCTTATTTTACATTAAATTTTTTTTTTTTGGCAAATATACTGTTCTATTTTTTATATTTTTATTTTCTTTTGTTTTAAGGCATTCCTGATTCTTTTTTTGGTCCACAACTTTAACGTATAAAATCATTTTAGTCACATTTTAGTTTTTTTTAAATCAACCTACATAGGTATTATTTGATCTACATTTTTGTATTTCCTAATACTTTGATTAAACAAATTAGATTTAAGCGTGAAAGAGTTGAGTAAATAATTAGTGTTTTTTTTTTGGCTTTGAAAAGTTAGTCCCGCATTCTACAGAAGTGTATCGTTTTTCCAGTTAGATTCTACGTTCCTAGTGCACCCACAACATGCTTCCAGTTGCTTAAGTAAAAAATGTTTCAAAATTTTGAAAATTCGCTTACGCTGTGAAAAGTAAAAACAGAACCATTTTCATTCATTGTGTGTATGTGTGAGGGTTTTTTTTATGTGCATGGCCGAGTGTGCTCCAAAGTATACAACAAGCCCTCCTCTCTCTGCCTGCTCTCCCACTCACTTTTTCTTTCGCCCGCTCGAGTTTTAAGTAGTATTAGTATGGGGGAACACAGGTTAGATAACTGCGAATCGTTCTGTTCGATTTATGTTTTTTAATATTTCGTGTTGATTTGCGTGCTTCGTATTGGTTGTTTTCTTTTCGCGTGCGTGAGGTAGTCAAATTAAGAACAATTATAAAAGAATGCCCAAAAATAAAGGTAGGAAAATTTGTTGGCGTGCATAGGAGGTTATTAAAACGTGAGCGAAAACTTTTGTCTGTGACTGTGACGAGATCCGGTTGCGCCCATCCATGTGCGACTTGCTATTTGGTTTGCTGCTCCAGCGCTGACTATGAACATGTGCAGATGCCGAACGGCTGATGCGTCGAGACGCTGCTGCGCACCTGCCGCATGCGCAAACGCTTTGGCCAGCTGCCCAGGCGGCCGGCCATAGCGCCCGTTGCTCCGTTGCCCGCTCCCGCACCGGAACTCACAATACCGCCGCCACGCCCACTGCTGCCAAAGAGCTGCGCATGCTCGTTGCTCAAGTTGTGTTGATAGGGGCGCAGCTTGGAGGCCGTCAATGTGGCCGGCGCCGCGTACAGCAGATAATTGTCATAGACATGGCTAACGCTCGAGTTGCGCTTGGCCGGCAAATAGGGCAGAAAGGCGAAACTCGAGCTGGTCGACTGCGTGCACTTTAGCGAGGATTTGCGCATTGGCTGCTGTTTGCAGCGCAGCGTCGACTGATTCGAGTAGCTGGGCGTTTGGGGTATCATTTCCAGCTTAATGCGATGCTCGTAGGCGGCAGTGGGCGTGGCAGTGGTACGTTCGCGCTGTACGGGCACGGGTAGGAGCGATCGCTTGCGTTTGAGACGCGGCGGCGGCAATGGGATCGCAGGCAGTGCTGTGGGCGTTACTGTTACTGTTGCCTCATCGATGCTGGCATAGTCTGCATCCTCGGCGGTTTGTGTATTGGCTAAATTCGTTACGTATACGTACGTCAGTTCGTTGTGCGTTGTTGTCGCTGTTGCTGCTGTTGACGCCGTAGCTGTTGCTGTTGTTGGTGTCGTTGTTGATTTGTGCGTTGTTGCTGTGGCTGCTGTTGTGGCTTTTGTTGCTGCTACTTTACCGGCTGTTGTGGACTTTCTGTGTGCGGACATTGCTGTGTCATGATGATTGCTGCGAGTGCTTTTGCTCGACTTGTGCCCAGCTGCGCTCTGCTCACTGTGTCTAGAGCGACTGGAGTGACCTGTGTGGGATGGCATTGGATATAATGAATTGTATTACTCTAACAAGTTGCGGCTATGAAAGTTAGAATAAACATTTTTCTGACTGTGCTACGACTGTTAACTTCGGTTTAGACTAACTGATTGTGTGCATGTGTGTTGTGCGGGTGTGTGTGCTAGAAGGCGTCTTGGTGTATATTTGCAGCTGGGAATGAGAAGCTTTCATTTAGTTACAGATCTTATATATTATTTTTTGCCATAAAAGTAGGTAATATTGCTTTTGCTATTTATCATAGTATGCAAAAATATTCTGTATTTTTTTCATCAACCTATTTTTATTGATTTTAATCAACTTTCATTCCCAGTTCTGCAGTGTATTGAAAATAGAAACAAGTGCCGAAATAGCAACAAACAAGCAACAGCCTTGACGCTTAACTTGGGTTAGCTACGCCATCAAGTTATGATCTATTGCTTAAGCTGCCCCTTTTATGTGCAGCTTAGTTTTTCGTAATAAATGGCTGTGGCACTTGGGTCTAGCTAACCTAAAACGTTTGCGCAGCCGAATCGGCTGTGTGGCACCCATTATGAGCATGCCCAACACAAGTAACTCTGTAATAGATATACATAGGTATATAGCAAATGGATTATGACGTAGCAGCTTGCACGAGGAATACGCCATAGAGTCGAACAGCTGTTCACTTACCACGCGAGCGTGTGAGCTCTTCTCGGTGCTTCTCAGTGCCGCTTGCGCGATCACGCTCCCGCTCGCGCTCACTCGTTCGGTGTGAGCTGGTGCGTGGGCGACTGGTTTCGCTGACACGCGTGGAGCGTATCAGCCGACTGCCTGATGCCGAGCCCGAGCTATGTTTGGCCGAATGGTCGCCGCTGTGCTCCTTCTCCCGGTGGCGGCTGTGGTGATGCGTGCGTTTGCTTTCTGGCGTCGCATTGGAGCTGCTGCGTGGTTTGCTGCTCTGCCTGGATGAACGCTGTTCAGTTGTCTCGTGACGTGTCTTCTCTCGTTTGGGCGTACGAATGCGTATTCGCTCCACGCGCTGCTTGCTCAATTGATCATCCGAAGAGCCGCCTCCTTGTGTCATTGACTCACGCGAACTGGAACGCGAACGATCCCGTGGACAGCACTCAATGGATGACTGCGATGAGCTGCGTGCACGGGTCGGCGAGGGCGTCGATTGTCGTGAATTGCGTCGTGCCTCCGAGGCGAAGGTGCCACGTGCGACACTCAAAGCTTTAGCATCGCCATTGTGAGTTTTGACCTTCTCATCGATGGTGGCCAAGAGTTTGCCGCTGCGGCGCTGCAGCGAGCAGGAACGACGTCGCTGATCCTTGAAGGCTGCCTCATCGGAGAGAGCCTGAACAAAAGAAAGGTATTAATAGTTTATTAATAATAATGAATCAAATGGTTCGCAAGGGACAAGTATTTTCTAAGAATTTAATTATAATTTAATTTTCACTAATTTTCCACTCCTGTCGGTAGATTAATTTAAATCCCTTTGGTTATGTTTGCTTAAGTTAAGCTATGCTGACCTTCAATGTTTGATCAGCGTTGCGTGTCATCTCGCTGAGAATCTGCGCATCGCGCTGCAAATCCGTTTTGCGCTCATAGCTGCCCGGCGAGGGTGACTTGACGCGGAAAGTAGTGGTCAGCTCGTTGGCAATGTTCTCATAGCAGTGCTCCTCATCATCTTCGGGGAAAGCGTTGCTCTCGTCGTTGGCCTGTGGACTGTGCCTCAGTAAATCGGGTCGATCGTTCAAAAGCTGCCACTTGGTCGTGGTGGTTGTAGTTGATGTCGTTGCGGTGGTTGCCTCCTCGTTGTGGCTTAGTTTGTTGCGCGTGGGCAACGTGCGTCGTGGGTTACTGGGCGTAACGTGTAATTTGGTGGTCTGTGGGGGCGTCGGTGAATGCTGTACACCAAAGTAGGAGAGCTCGTGCTCGCGCAGCTTGCGTGCGCCACGTGCCTCCTTGACAATTTTTAGGGATTCGCTGCCCGATTCGTCTGCATTGTCCACGACCTGTGCTTGCGGCTGTGGCTGTACGAGCAGTGTTCGAGGTTTGGCCACGGGCACAAGCTGGCCAATGCGCAGCGTGGGCGGTGTGGGTTTCGGCTTCTGCAACCGGGGTGCATGCAGAGCTATGTTCATCACATTTGACTTGGGCAGATCTGCAAAGGAGCATATAGAGAAAGAGTGTATCAATGTGGGGAGTCCGATGGTGTTCAACTGCCTGGGCCCTAGACGCTAAGTAAACTCCTCTACCCGAACACGGCACGCCCGTCGCGCCGATGGCTTTACCTGTACGCTGCAGCGTTTGTTCTTGAGCTTCAATCTTCCAGATGGTGCGCTTGGCCTTCAGGCGACTCCAGCTGCTCGAGTATTCAGTGCCCTTGAGCACCGTATCCTCGGGTGAGGAGCTGCATTGAGTGCCACCGCCACTGTCGCTGTTGTTGCTTTCACGGAAATAACGCTTGACCTCTTCATCGGCGCTGTCCTCCTCCTGATCCGCAGCATCGTAGAGTCGCCGCAGCTGTGTCAGCTGCTGGCTCACGGGTATTTGCGTATTGCCTAGCAGCTTGAGACGTGGCGGTGCCAGCGGTGTGCGTGGCAGTGAATCGTATAGAGCGCTGCCAAATAAATCGCTGCTGGTGATGGACGTAGTTGAGGTGCGACGGCAGCTCTCCTCCTGATAGCTGTGCGAGCGCAACATGGGCGTGGGAACCACAATAGTGGGCTGTATCAAAGCGGACTCGATTGAGGCTATGCTCAGGCGACGCATGGCCTCATCGAATTCGCTCGCCGAGCGCATTGTTTTCATAATAAGCGATGTGGACTTGAGGCCTTCGTCCAGAATGCGCTGATGGGCGCGCAAGTCCTGCAGCAGCAGCTCCTGTGCGCTGCTGCGACGACGACCTGTGATGTGGAAATGTGCGAGAAAATGTTGTTGGTGTTTTGGCTTTTTTTGTGGTATGTATGATTTGCTCTTGGATTAGTGGCAGTGTTGGGAGGGATTAATTTTGAGATAATCATGACTAAATGTAAGAGTTATCTGAGTCTGAGTAAATATATTTATTAATTGATTTTAATTAAAGTGAGCACCAATAAGTGAGCAACAATACATTTTGTTTATTTCATCATTGATTTAAAAAAATTTTTTTTTAACCGTTTAATAGAATTTTTGAATTTTTTTAATTATGGTAAAATCTACAGAAATTGTAGAAGGTCTTAAATAAAATACATACTTGTACCCCACGTTGGGGTCTATATTAAAACTAACAGTTTTAAGGAATGTGGAATTTACTTCAATTATTTAAAAAACAGTTCAAATTATAAAAATAAAAATAAAACACATAAAAACTATCGTAAGATCCCTGCGTTGGGCGCCAAATGCCAAAACAAGAGCTCTAACAAGATTTTGGAGTTTTTTTTTACCAGAACTATTCAATTACAACATTTTTAAAAGATGAAACTTAGCTTTTCAGTCATGATTAAGTTAAGTCAAATTAATTTGATATTTAAATTGATTCTTTCCAACACTGGTTAGCAATTGTTGTTTGTGTTTAATGATTAGAATGTAAGCGTTATATGCGTAGCGTTTTAAAATTGGCTTAAAGCAAAGTAGAAGCAGCGGCTTGGACATGCATTACGAGATCAAGTTTTGATTATATCGAGACTAAACAAATTGAGAGTCAAGTAGAGGAGTTTACTACTGAGCCGTATAGACACAACAAAACACAAGACACTAAAATAAGTACGAGCTACAGGCACAGCAGCTAAAAAGTTAATTCGCTTCTCTTACAAAATACCAACCTGTTTCTGACCAATCCTCAGCTCCAAGGCTCACATTGATCTTCGTCGAGTATCCATTCCCGGCTGGCGATGGCTGCTGCTGCTGCTTATCGAACTGCCTCTGCTCCACAATCCGCACCCGTTCAGCAACCGATTTGGTGGTTATCGGCGAGTCGCCAGCGGCTGTCGTTTAAACAGGGAAGTCAATCAGTAAATGTTGTTTCAAATGCTTATATATATATGTAATTACTTAAACTTGTAACAATTATTTTTAACTAAGATTATAATCATAAAATGAAATTCACTCAATTTTAGGTGCTTGATCAAATAGATTGTAGAAGAGACTTTTAAGCGGGGTAAATTGTGTCTTTTATATATACATAAAATAATTCAAAACCAGCCTGGGTATATATTCAGTACAAGTGTTTTACAAGTATATTATATTAAAAGTCTATTATTTCAGGTAACGGTTCTAGTTATATGCTTTAATTCCTATATATATATTTCTCTCTTTTTTATCCCCCATCTTTCCATGCATTTTCCACTAGTGTAAGCTATATTTTACAGTACAGTGTTAGATACCGAAATGGAAGAATAGTTTGGTCTTACGATTAACTCAGTAAGCTTTAACTCACCACTTTCCCGACTTGGCGGACTGTTCTCCCTGTTCTCACTCTTGATGGTCGCTGGCATGCTCCAGAGCACATCCGCACTCTCAATATTCTCGCCCAGGTGATAGGGTTTCGGCTTGACAGGCTTATTCTTTAATATGCCACGTATGTTGGCCAGCTCGTCTGTCTCATTGTCCGTTGTGTCCATTCCGCTGGTGGAGGTGTAGCTATGCCTGGACGTGGAGCTAGTAGTCTCTAGCAGACTGTAGCGCGGCTCCACCAACGGCTTGGTTATAACCGTAACCTGGGTGCCAGACACTGGCTGAGTGACTAGCTCCGGTGGCTCCATCACTGTGGCCCGATAGGCTACTGTGCTGGAGGCAATTGTTTTGTTGCGTATGATTGGATCGTCGCCAAAGTGGGTCACATTGCTGCTGGAGCAGCTGCTGCTGCTGCTGGTGACGCTGGCTGACTTGACCAGGCTCTGCAGCGGTCCGCTGGCGGTGCGTCGGCGTCGACGAAAGTTTTGCGTGGGCGGTGGCTTGCCATCGGTTTCCACAATATTGACGCGGCCCGATTCGGCGGCAAAGTGCACCTCAGTTTTACAAAATTCCACGCGTTTTTGTGCGCTGCTGCGCTGCAGCTGACTGGAACTGTTGTTGCTGCTGCTGCCATTTATGGATTCACCATTGACATGCACCTGGAAGTGGGAATGAAAGTCGTTTAATTTCATTGGAATTCGTATTATGGGCAAAATGCGCGGCAATGTTCGCATACAACAATGTATATCGATACATTTGAAAATTACACAATAAGAATCGGCGGTATTTTTTTATATCGATAGAAAAAAGAATTTAATGAAAATAGCATTTAAATAACTGATTATCATAACTGGCACAATTAATTTGTTATGATTGCCGGTTAATTAAAATAAAAAAAGGGTTTCAATTTGCTGCTTAAATCTACTTGCTACATTTTTGAACTACGGCGCGTTGCTGCCAAATAATAAATCTAATCGATACATCGAATCGATTAGAGTATTAGGCATTTCATATTTCCTATTAGCAGTAGTTACTCTTCTTCTTACCTGTGAAGTTTTCCGTATATCGCGCCAAGTTTCCTCTACCGCAATGGAGTGCCGCTTGCTCAGCTGCTCCGCTTCGCTGGGGCTTGCCGGCTTTCCCACTTGTTGTCGGCCAAAGTGTATAATAGTGGAGCCAGCTCCATTGGCCGCAGCAGCCGCCGAACGCTCAGTGGGCGACCAATTGCCTAGCTGCTCACCCGAGCGGCCCAGGCCGCTGTCCGTGGAGGCGTCCACGCGGAAAATGCTACGATTCTCGGGTGGTGACATCTTTTCAAACCCGTACGATTTTCGACGCAAGTGCCACTCACTGGAGCTGCTGTCCTTTGGACGCTGACGCGTTTCCAGGCTGTGCGTATTGTGAACGACGCGAAAAGCGGAGGGCGCGGAGGTCGCCGGCACATGCGCTTGCACCACCTCAACCGCTGCGGGCTGGGCAATGGCCTGATGCGCCAGGAAGTCCTCCTTGTACAGGCTCTCGTCAGATAGTTTTTTTAATTTGCCTCGTATCTCCTGCAGCGACGCGGCGGTGAGAAATGTGCTGCGCTTGGCCAGCTGTGGCTTGCTGGAAGATTGGGCTGTTGCACTCGCTGCTGCTCCCGCTGCAGCGACCGCTGCTGCTGTAGAGTTAAGTATGCTGTCCAGTGCGGCCAGATCGACGTGATTGTTGCGCATGGCCGTGTTCAGCCTGCGTCCGTTCTCCAGTTCAGCGCGTATGCGTGCCACACTCACCGTACTGCTGGGCAAATCCAATGGAAGTGGACGTGGTCTGGCCTGTGCTTTATTATGATAATCCTGCGACTGAAAGGAACGACGCAATTTACTAACGCGTCGCCAATCACCGCACGGCAGTTCCTCCTCCGTCTGTTCCTCGCCGCGCTGCTGCCAATCGTTGCTGAGATCATCCGTGGATATGGAACGGGAACGCTGCAGGCTGCCAAAGCTGGCGGGCAACGGCGGCGCATAAACGGATTGGGACACCTGCTGGCGACGCTGGTGCCTTGCGCTGAGCCTGCAAGTGTTTAAAGCAGCGAACTCAAGCAAATAATGCCACAAAGATTTCAAATTTCAAATTGAATTTTGAAGCACTTACCGCAAATCTTCATCAACGTCGTCGTCGTCGTCGGCGGCGGCGGCGGTGGCGGCGTCATCATGATGCCGGAAACTTTCCAAATCACGACGCAGCGTTGGCGTGGCCACAGCGGCAACGTCAGCAGCAACGCCCACGCGACGCTTTTGGCTGCCGCTGCCGCTGCTGCTGCTGCTGAAGCCGTTGTTGTTGGCCTGGCCATATAAGTCAGCCTGCTCCAGTCGCTGGGGCCACGTTGATAATGTGCCAGATGATGATGATGTTGCTGCTGCTGCTGTTGTTGCTGTTGTTGTCTGCCCAACAATTGCATGTAGGCTTATTTTGCCCGCATTTCTGTGGGTGTTGCCAGCCACTGCTGCTGCTGCTGCCGCTGCTGCTGTTGCTGCTGCAGTTGTTAAATTTGAGTTGTTGCTGCTTTGGCTGGAAATACTCGAACTGCTTTTCTGTAAATGGTAAACAAAAGCAGATTGGTTCGAATTAGCACATCTGTTGTTATTGTTGTTGCAGTCAGGCTTTAAGGAAGTTCTTCACTTCCCAGCTAAAAGCAATAGAAGTGGATTTCCGTATTATAAGCGAATAAATTGACTGATGGGCGTTTAAGCTGTGATTGACATATGCCTGGCGAGCTGAGAATATAATGGAAAGACCCACTCTGGTGATCTTTAAGAGCTGAGACACACAATTATTGCATAATAATTAAAAACACAAAACCTGCATGAGTTAATAAACCTATGGAAAATGAATGCTCACAGAACCAAGCTTTAGTGCATCGTTAATCGGTGAGTCTTGAACTTAATTTTAAACATAAGAATAGTTTTTAATTATACTTATTCATCAGGCTATATATATATTTTTGAAACCACTGGCAGGATTCCACGAGTAAATTGCCCAAGTTTAAGATTAAAAGTATGCATGGTATTCGATTTCCATATTTCCGTATTATAAGCACATAAATTGCGCGATGGGCGTTTAATCTTTGATTGGCATGTGGACAGATTGTTGTGTGTATGGAAATAACCACTCTGATGAGCTTCAGAACAGTTCTAAGAAAAGCGAACGTTAAAAAAAATATCTTAATAAGTAAATTCTAAAACACAAGCAATCAGAATCGACGTGGAGTTACCCCGCACGTGAATATGAATATTGTAAATATTGTGAAATGGCACCAAGCAGATAAATGAACTATGAGAAAACCTGCGTTAAATTCCAGAAGTGTTGTACATGGGTAAGTTTATTATATTAAGAAACGTACATCCCATTGAATTTAACTTTAATTAAGGTCGAAAACATAGTGAAAAGGATCAAACAAAAGGAAAGGAAGGATCAAAAAAAAGTAAAAGAAATGGAAGATATTACGAGCGTGTGACTTTTAATGCAAATGCGAAAAACTAAAATAAATAAATCGGTGAGTTTAACACAAAAAATACATTTCTTTATCAATTTACTTTTTACATTGGAAAAAAACATTTTATGTTTATTTTTATATGTCGCTCTACGTGCAAGATTCCTCTCATTTATTCTTTTTTATATACGAAATACTCAATTTTTTTTTAAATATGATTATTAATACTGTTGTATTTATACATTTTAAATATTTTTCCATTGCCAACTAGATTTATTTTTAAATTCCACAAATAAGCAAAAATTAAGAAAGCAATTTTCGTGTCAAGATTGATGGGCATGGCCATGTTCCTGGTGGGCGTAAAGCTTGGCTCGAACCTCACGTCGTGTCTGCTACGACTATCCCCCTTATTCCTCCCGCTAGCTAACCAACAATTAAACACTTTTTGCTGTTCGCCTAATGACCAAGCCGAGATTTAATTCGGCGTGTCGCCTTGCCACGGGTGGCAGAGTGCCAGAATTTCCTTTGTAGTCATGACCCAAATGTCTGGTGGCCAAAATGGTTCGATTGGTGTTCATAAATTTGGCTTAAGTGCTAAATGCTTAATTGAGCTTGCCTATTAAACCGATTGTTGCCAGGCGCTTCATTTGAATCACATTCAGAGCGTGGTCGTCTGGCTGCGGCTGCGATCTGATGATCCATGATGTTTGGCCAATTGCCAATTTAAGATGTCTAAATGTGACATGTGTATGCATTTATTTATTTCTTTTGTTGACTTTGCACTGTGTGATTAGCGTTATTAATTTATGAAAGTTTACTAATTAATTTGGAAGAAAAATAGGTTGATGTTCTTTGAAATGAATAACGGGTAACGTTTAACGTTTAATACATAATATAAATACTTATTACATAAACAATTCTTTTATATTTTGTGCAAAATATTGATTTGTATGATCGCAAATTATTATTCTTTGCTTAAATAATGTTGGAATCTTTTTCTTTTAAAATTTTCGAAATGTTAACTTTATTTATATTCAAGAGCTAACATTTTTTTATTGAACTATTCTGCTAGCTATTTCCAATTTTGGCATTTTCTATATATTTGGTTTACTCAACACGACTTCTTGTTATTTATGCAATGCAATTTTGCCTTATTTGTAAATAAGATGTAAAATTTACCCTTTCCATTTGTTGTTACTCAGTTTTTGGTAATTTATGTAAACATCATGATTTTCCTCTACTCGAGTTTTTCTCAAGCCCAACAGATCGTTAAGAGCCATTTTCGGTCATTGCCATGGCCGGGATCTCATTGCCGATCGCAGCGCAAAAAAAAAAGGAAGCAGAAAGCCAAAGAAAAGCAAACTAAGAAAAAAACCTAAAGCAAACATAGCCGCATGCTAATGAGCCGCCAACAAGCGCATGAAAAATGACGGCCCAAAGCGGCGACTACCGCATTTCGGAGCCTGGACAGGCTTAGGGTTTAACGTGTGCGGGTTCGGGTTCGGGGGCGGATGGGCAGGCGGTAGATAGTGGATAGGCGGGCGGTGGGTACAACTTACCATTAGATTGCTCAATTTCAAACTTGGCGCTGTATCGAGTAACAAATTGTGGCCGAGTTTGTGCAAATGAGCGACGTCGTCGTCGTCGTCTGCGGCGTCATCAACGTCCGCATGGCCATTAAGCACAACAAAATCAACATGATCATCAACCAGCTCCTGGCCATAGCCAGTGCTTGGCGTGGATGCAGTCATGCACTCGTGGACGACGCCAGCGTCGCTGCCATTATGTATGCTATCCTCATCATCATCAACATAATCATCATGTTTGTCATCGTCGTCGTCGTCGTCGTTGTTGCTTAGCTCACAAATGTCAACGCCTCGACTTGTTCGAGGCGCCCATAGCGCCATGGGCGCTGCGCCTGTGCTGCTGCGGGTGGTGGTTTTAGTGGATGAGGAGGTGGACCAACGGGATGTGGATGATGTCTTTTGTACTGTCTGTGTGCGTATCACCTGCATGGCGCCATTGGCGGTGCGCAGCACCTCCATTTGTTTGCGCTGTGTGTGCTGTGTGCCATTCGGCTGTGAGATATTTTGGGAATCTGATATCTGCAATATCGGGCAAGAGAAAGAGAGAGAGAGAGAGAGACAGAGTGTTGGATTTGAGTGATAGCAGGATTATGTGTGTGTTGGATAACGTATTTGGATAACAAGGACTTAATTAATTGTTTTATGATCGAAATTTTTTTTTAGTTTGTCAGTAAGATTTTTGGCATGTTTAGTAGGTTTGCCCAATGGACCGCTTGCGGGCTGGCTCTTCATGTAAGAGGTCAAGTTTAACCTATACTGATCAATATGCTGATATGATCAATGATGCATTATCAATTTTACTATCCAACTACATTTGGCTACCTAATTCAAAGTATATATAGATTTGTGTGATTCACAAGCCAAGGTAGAATGTTCATGAATTAAAAGATGAAGAAGTTGAAGGATATTTGAACCTTACGCTTTCTTTTAAATTACACTTGTAACAAGTTTGAGTACTCTTATTATGCTCGACTAGCAGATACTCCGTATCTTTGCGTGTCATTTTTCATGCACCATTATAAGTTTAAAAAAATCGTAATAATAATGAGAACCGCAGAGAAAGGCGACATTTATCACAACTACTTAAAGCACAAAACAAAAACAAAAATATTAAATAAATATTATATATCTATAATATAAAAAATACGGTTTTGATTTTACAATCTTTTAGATATATTTTTTAGAAATAAATCATGGAGTTAAGTAGAATATTTATTGATGTTTAAATTCTGCGTAATACGCAAATTTAATGATATTTGTGGCTGTCCTTTATATAAGTAGGCATGTAAATAAATAACAATCAATACAAATAATACCTGCACATACATAGACTTTTAACAGCCAATGTACAAATGAGGCTGTCAAAATTATATGCAAGTTTATTAGGTGTGTCCAATGGGGCGTATGAGTGTTGGCACAATACACACCATACATATGTGTAACTGGGGAGTAGGCGAGTAGATGAAGGGGGGAGTGGCCGGTTGCTTTGTTAGCCAATGCACTTGAACGTCAAGTGTTTGCTTGGCTCTTATCTCAACAGCTGTGCGCGCTGGTCGCACACGTGACCAAAGCGAGCCAGTTACAAACCACTGCACCCTTTTCAACGTGTGCAACAATTAACAGTTGCTTTGGGTCGTGCAACACACACATGTATATAGCTATCGGTGTTGCGGTTGTGTGGCCCAAAAGATCGATTGTTGCAATCGATTATGTCGATGATTTATAGCGTTCGAATTTTTATTAGGGTTCAGTTGGGCATATTCGTGTCAATGACCAAATCAAATGCATTCTCAATGCTCCACTTCCATGCAAATGCACAAAAACAACAAAAACAACAAAAACAACAACAACAGCAACTATTACAACAATTGCCTGAGTCAATAGCCAAACATAAAATTTGATTACAACAAAAAGTCGAGAACAAATGTTCTTTGTTACATGAAACCACAGAATGAACCACCGATGCTGTCAGTGGCTATTGTGGGTTGACTCATAGGCTTTGGGTTCTGACTAAGACAAGCTGTGAGTATTGTGGTAATTGTGGTTATTGTTACCACTAAGAAGAATTTTGTATATGTGGGTTAAATATTTTCATTTTAATATCGATCCAAGAACTTTTTATGACAGTGATAGCAAAATGACGTACAAAATATTTATTTTTCAAAATTCAAATTCAAAGTTCAAATTCAAATTCAAAGTTTTTAAAATCTCTCTTATAGGCATGGGAAATCAGTTAACATGTTGCTAAATTTATTAAAAAAATCTGCCACTTATTCCTTTTGGAATTCCTTCTGGATTTCAGGGAAATTTTGTTTAATGGTGACATAAGATTTGGGACTAAGTGTCGCCCCAGGATATAAAATAGCCATGTCAGCCATATATATAATATATATATTTCTTAGGCTAATGATAATATTCTTAGGACATTTTGCTTACATTACGAATTTTTCTTTCGACATTCTTCTCGACATTCTAATAATCAATATGAATATATGATTTAAAAAATATCATGCTATTTATGTTGAGAAACTGTATTCTAAGCGTATACTGACAGTAAACTCTCTGTTTCTTTGGCTATGGTAATTTTGTGCCACAATTCGCCAACTAAATTTTATTCGCAATCTCAGCTATCACTTTCAGGACTGCCCCCATCGAGCTTTCATTACCGGATTTGATTGGCTTTGAGTCCCTCTTGCAGTCCACTGCTGAGTCAGACCACTTTCCCGCAGGCAAATTGCAAATGCATAATAATTTTTACGGCTCCCTTAAGTCACACTCATCCTTGAGCGGCAGCCAAGGGTACTCAATACCAGGTACTGGGTACCAAGTTACCTGGTACCTAGTATGAACCACAATTGCGGTGCAGATATAAATTATAAGCAAAGTTTCGAACCCTTGGGGCGATGCACGTTCTGTCGCTGAGTTTCTCACGCCACAGAGGCAGACAAAAGAAGACTTGTCTTAAATCTCCTTTTGGCCAGGTATTACATTTTTGTTGTTGTTTGTTAGTGTGTGTGTGTGTGTCTATCGATGACCTCTTTTTACCAGCCGAGCTGGCTGGAATGTATGTGTGTAGGCTGTGGTATTACTGTTTGCCCGCTAGAGAGTTTTATGGTCCCGGCTTGGCCTGACTTGGCCTGGTCTGGCTTGGTCTGGCCTGGTTTCGCTTGGCAGCCGGGCTAATTAAGCTATGCCAATCTGCATGGCTGTTGAAAACTCACACTCCCCCAGGGGTCTGCTCTAATCAAGGCAGCAGCTGGCGCGTTCGCTAAAACAAAAATATATTTCGCCATGGCCAAACAATCAAGGAATCAGTGTCATGATCTCGAACTTGAGCCCCCATGCGGTCGGCTGGCTGCCTGGCTGATAAAACCAAGATCCCGCGCCTCGCATAGCCAAATTGAAAAATGCTCAATGGCTTTATGGCTGCTGCCTGTTGCTTTTGGCTCAAAGTCAAGTTGAAGGTTCAATGAAATGCGGCAGCTGCAAAATGCAGCTGGCAGGCAGGAAGAGGGGTACCCCGAGACGCGCATATATTACAAGTGTGCTCAGCCATGGTACCCAGAGCCCAAAGTCGTGATGATGTAGACGTTGTAGACGTTGCCCGCCTTTGCCTCCGCCTCCGCCTCTGTCTCGGCTCTGGCTTGGCCTATGCCAAAATATTTTCGCCCGGGCCATGCTTTAAACGAATTTAATGATGCTGCCCGCAACATCGTCGTCTTCGTCGTCGTCGTCGTCTTCGTGGCTGTCTCTGGCCATAAGATTGACTGTCTATCTCAGCTCTTGGCCTGCTCTGTCTTTGCCGTCTGTCCGTCTGTTTGTCTGTGTCAGTCTTTGGGCTGCCATATGCTCCATGTCTGCGCATGCATGTCGCCTTTTCTGGCGGCAGGGCTTACACAGATCGCTGCATAGACATGCCAAAGCGTTGACTCTTTTTATTTTAAGCTGGCACTGACTTTGGCCGCACTGTGGTTATGAAGCCTACGAAAATGTGTTACTTGCTTTATATATCTCAGATAATATAAAACACAAATAACTTCAACTTCATAGCTCATTCTGTAAATTCCTTGTTATGTCTTCTATAAATTAAGTTCGTACATATGATAATAATAATATATAAAAATAATAATATTATACTTAAAATATAATCTTGCAACTTTATACGAATATATTATTATTTTTGCTAGATATTTTATTATAATCAAACATTTTTAAATATTATAGGATTGTTAAAAAATTTAAATTGCATGCATTTTTATTTCTTAACTTATTATGAATATTAGTGAATATTATTTAAAATATTTACTGAATATAAATTAAACTCATTTTCCGAATGGGGGTATACTATTTCATTAATTTCTAAATATAAATAATAAATTATATTTTAACCCCAACTACTTTAAGTTAATTTCATTTAAGAACTATAAGTAATACATTTTTTATTTGAATACATTTCAAATCATATTCCATTCCATTTTCCCTGAATTTGAGCACAGTGTGCTGCATGCTGCATTTTAAATTGCTTTCTGCCTAACAATGGCCATTTTGTTGGCCATGCTGGGTCTTAGCTCTGCGCCTCTTAAACGCTAATAATATACATTTTTATATGCATTATTTCTGTCACGATCTCGTTGACTTTATATCTCTATAGAGCACAGTCTATGATCTTGTATATATGTATATTTATATACATATATAAATGTTTGAGTACCAAGTGCGACTACGAGTACTTATGGCTTGTTTGAGTACATCGAGTAAATCATATGTGGGCCCTCTGTTCATGACCGCATCATGGCCAAGTTGTAGGCTGCTTGGATGCAGTGTGTGTCTGTGTTTGTTTGTGTGTGTATGTATGCATTTGTGTGGCTGTATTGTGCACAGGAAATTAACAACTGGCGAAGCTTTTAATCGTAGCAAGACACGTCAGTTGACATCCTCAATTAGTTGCATGTAATTTACGATTCCAGTGGCCAGTAGCCCAAACGGACCGACTGAGCTGAGAGCTGGCCAAGTTGAGAGATTTGCAGCCACATCTTTATGCGGCGTGTGGCTGCGCGTCTCTTGGCAACCTAGTGACCCACAAAGACGTCGCTTGCCAGCGTCTATGTGTTCCGTTAGCCTGCATTCGGGGCGGCTTGCCACATGCCACGTCTGCCCCGCGGTGATTGCAGCAACTGCCAGCAGCAACAGCCAGCTTTGGCAAAAAAACAAAAAAAAAATCAAATTCAAATGCTGCATGTTGCGCTTTAGCAAAAATGTAAATTTTTGTACAACTATCCATAATGTAAATGAAGCCAGCCTCAATTCTGGGAGCAGTCTGTCTAACGGTGCTTGGAGCTGGGCTGGGATGCGTCTGTTGTTCGTTCTGCCCTGGCACAAATCAAAGATCGCGCTAGTCAATTGAATTCTGTCGGCAAGCTGCCTTTGACTTTGTCGGCAAACAGACACAGCGGGATAACCAGTCAATAGACTTCACATTGATATAAATTTCCACTCGAAACGGGGCAATCAAATGAACTGCGCGACTATTTAAACTGAAACTGACCACTGAAATAGCTTCAAAATCGAACTCCAACTCCAATTCCATCTCCATTTTCCTGGCCAGCTTCATTTTTTTTTCAATGGGGTTCTTTGATTGTTTTCGATTCTATTGATTGCTTCGATCGGCAAGTTGGTCGCGCCAGCAGCAGCGGCAACAGCAGTGGCAGCAAAGTTCAATCGCGATAAAATGGGCAGCAAAATAAAAACAGCAACAGCCGCAACAACTTTCAGCAAGTTTCTATATACCCTGCAGCCATATGGTAAATATAATGGGCATGTGAACTGCGAGAGAGTGAATGTAACAATAGATCACAAAAGGTCTTTGTGGTTTTGTAAATTCACTAAAGATCTTGCGAAAATTGAATATAAAGTCGTATGTCTATTTTATATTTGTTAACTAACGTGAATAAGATAGAGCAAATATTTTTACAAATATTGTCAAGATTGTGCTGTCTGTTATCAGAAAAATAAAGTCGTCACTTCTTGAAGAGAGATAAAAATACGATAAAAAATGATATAAAAAATCTCATACATACAAGAAAAGGGTACACCCATAAATGAATGAATTTAAATGGAAAATGTGCGAGGTTTATACCGATAATGCGATATTGCTCTCATCGTTGCTTATTGGTGGTATCAAAATAATTTCAAATGAGGTAGCATTAAATATGCGGCATACAATTTACTTAAAATCGTATAAGTTGTTAAACATAGCTCAGTAAAGGTTTTATGCAAATTAAATAAGTCAAGGCTTATAAATAATATGTAAGATATATACCATATAAACAATAGAAAGCTCAATAAACAGACGATAATATATACAAAGCCCGATAGCTGAGAGTCAAAACAGTGTTGAACCCAAATACGATTATTGAAAGCTTTTATAAAGTCAAATCGAAACAATTAAACGTCTAGTTCGTACATTCAATTTGTAGTGATTGGAGGCGATTGGAGTACTTAAAAAAAAATGTCGAAAATTCTTATTGCATTAACTTTTTTGTTGCTATCTGCATTGTGTGTGGTCCATTGTGAAAGCCTGGCGGATCGAATATCCGCTTTGGAAACACAGCTCGAGAACAAGGACGAATTGATAGCTATGCTGAGAATCAAAACCATAAGTGAACAGGAAAAAATCGATCAACTAGAAAAAAAACTCTCCGAGTTTATGTTACAGAACAACAAATGCCAATTCTCCAGCTGCCTATGCAAATCCACCGATTTGCATGAAATAAAAGTTCCCGGCACGGAACCGTTTCAAGCTTCCTGTGACTCGACTTTAGCCGGATCCGGTTGGACCGTTGTTCTACGTCGTATTAATGGCAATGTGAATTTTAATCGGAACTGGAGAGAATATCAACAGGGCTTTGGCGATTTGCGGGGAGAGTTCTTTATAGGACTTGATAAACTGCATCTCATAACCAAATCGCAACCCTACGAATTGTATATATACCTGCAGAACTTGAATAATGAAACTAGATTTGCGCGCTACGATAGTTTTGCGATTGCCGATGACGATGCCTCATTTGAAATCACTTCTCTGGGTACTTATTCGGGAAATGCCGGTGATGCTATGGTTCATCATAAAAATATGAAGTTCTCAACATTTGATCTTGATAATGATAATAGCAATAGAAATTGCGCCGATGAAAATAGTTCCGGCTGGTGGTTCAATAATTGTTATCATTGGTATGTATTTATTCTTTTTATTGTTTATTGATATATAATTTTTATTTGATTTTTAGCAATCTGAACGGACCCTATAATAGTGGCTTTTATTGGTACCCATGGCAAAAAAATGTTCTGAAATTTGCTCAAGTTATGATCAGACCAAAAGCTAATTAGAAATGGTGGCTTTATGTCTGCATTTAATGGAAATAAAAAGAATGTGAATAAGCAAACATTTTTTTAAAAATGTGAATAAATTGTTTGAAAAAGCTTCAACAAAACCTTGTTTATAATTTTGTTTACATACGAACCAAACCAGCAAAGCCTATGTTTAAAGTCAATAGTTTAAATTAAATATATTCATTATTATATTTTATGTATTTAAGAATATTTATTTTTATTATTATGTTCTTATGTCTTCATATTTTATTTATTTAAAAGGCTTGCATAAAAACTAAAGTTAAATATAAATTCCAGATAGTTGATTTAAGTAATAGTTTTTCTATGTAGCATGTGGTCCTCAAATGTAAAATAAATAAATTAAATTAAGGGGTGGAAAGGCAAGAAGTTGTGGAAGATAAAAAAATCGTGCAGATACAATTTTTTGCATGTGATCGGTGTCCCATATATGGAAGAAAGTAAAGCACCTATAATTCTCAAATAATTTAAGTGTGAACTCGATTTCAGATTCTTAGCTGCCTGTTAAGTGATTATTAAATTGACCTTAAAACAGAAACCAGAAAACTATAGAAAAATATCAATTAAAATCGAATGCTTGAAAAGCAATATGACAGCATCAAAAAGTTTGTTGATTTTGCTTTGCTAATTGTTATCAGAACTCTTATTGAATTGATCTCAAAACTGACACAGGTTGTTCACTCTTGCGCCCTACGATGATGTCATTGCATTGGTATTAACTTTGCAGAGTAGAGTTTTGTAGAGTATTTCGGAGAAACTCAATTCTCGCAACCAAATAAAATACGCTCGAATTGTTAAACCGCCGTCCGGCACTTGAGCCGTGAACTTGAGTTGGCCACACGCACGACTCCGGGCATGATGGCACCGGCTTTCGGCCCTCGTCATTCGGTACTCGATACTCAATATTCGATACTCAATGAGCAAGCAAAATCTGCTGTCCAACTGTGGTCCGTCTGCCGTCATTATAATTAACCGACAAATTCTAGAGCAATCAATGGCAACAAAATGTATAAAAGCATAGCCCAAAGACAAGTGAAATCTGAAGAACGCGCATTAATTACCACAGCGAGGTGTGTGTGTATAGATGTGTGTGAGTGTGTGGAAAGGTAAAGGTACAAAAGCAAATCAAAACAATGGCAAAATAAACACTTGCTGAAATATTCAAGTGACTTGGCCATGCGTTTTGCTCTTGCTTGGCAATTATAAATTCGAAAGATTCGTACGTTTGTTATTTGTATCTGGCAAATCGATTAATAAGTGGCACAGCGTGTGTACCTTATATCTGTGTGTGCAGAAGTATCTGAGCAGCTCGTGCGTGCGACCTGTTAGTTATGCCCGAGTGAAGATGGTCAACGCTGATGCAGTTTCTCGCGCCGGCAAAGAAGAGTTGTCTGACACACAAAAGCCAAACCGTCAGAATACAAAGTATCTATCAAAGTTTTTGCTATGCGTAGCTAACGGTTTGAACCGCATGCCCAGTGGCATCAATGGAATCTTTGGGTATAGATAATTGCTTTAGAGCTTAAAACTGTAAAGTCTTAATTGTAATCAACTTAGCAGTGAGCGGGTAACCAAGCTGTCTAGCTACTTTCTTTGATATAAAACTGCTTCTTTTAAGCACTTAAATGATATTAAACAATCCTTCAAATTCTTTCTCTACATGACCCATTATCCTGAATGACTTAAGTAATATTGTATATTCATCAGTCAGTTTCCTTATATGCATTTACTATTAACATTTATCCCTGCTTTAACTTTACTTTAAGATAGGTAAAAAAACTCATAGCTCACTAAACTCTCTTATTGTTTTAGTAATGTCTTTTCATTGGATTCTTTGGGGCTGGTCCCAAATAGCTAAATAAACTATTAACTGATTAAAATCGAAAGGCAGCTAACCAAACTGGCAATCAAGCTCAATCAGTCGATAGCCCAGCCCGCTGCGGAGTGCACTAAATTAGTAGACGCCTCTACATTTAGAGTGCTGCAGCCTGGAGCGTGCCTTTCAATTTCATTTTAATGCTCATGCCCATTCTTACCTAAAAGCCTATACTGACTGCAAACAAAAGCTACAACAATTAGGCCTCCACCTAGGCATCAATCAGAGCTCTGGTAACGCACTATGCACTGTGAGAAAAGCAGTTGAAATTAAGGATGCGAGGGAAAGAGCCAGAGCTTAGATAATATAAGAACAGATGAAATGTCCTTTATAGCATCTATAGCTTTTGGACCTTGATTGAAAATTCGGATTGAACTTGAAGAATTTCTGGGGTCTGTTGTTTGGATTACTTGATTACGATTGAAAAGAGAAGCCGCACACATCTTCATTGTAAAAATTAAACATGAGGATACAATTCAGAAGCAGTTCTCTTGCGATGAATTGCATAGTTGATAAAAAACAAACATAATTTCTGAAGAAAAGCAGGTTTCGATCAAAAATTTCACGGACTGCCGGGACAGGACAGGATATGTAATATTTCCACAAAATTTTAAAAAGCACGGAAATAAATGCAATTTATCCATGTGGATAAATCAATTTGTGCTACAGGCCCTGACAAAGTTTTCGTTCGTTTTTCGTAAAATATTTTTTATGAAATTTCAGTGTGATATTTTTATATAAACATATTAACAGAACCTAGCTAAAGACTGGCGAGTCTTTAACTTAGGTTCAAGAGAACTTATTTTAATCAATTTTAAATTTTTTATTTGTGCATTTTCTTTGGGTTGTATATATGTTTGTAGCTCTCTTTCTTACCTTGCCATAGCTGTTCAGTGGTCCATTTATCCAGCGATCTGCCTCCAAGCGGCCGCTGAACAGCGCTCCAGTGTCCGGATCGATGCGTTGCCATTCACGCACCTCACGCTGAAACGGGGAACGGGAACCGCCGTTGCCCCCGCCGCCAGCACCACCGTTGCCACCACTAAGATGATGATGATGATGGCTCTGACTGTGATTGTTTGTTGTTGCCACTTCCATGTTGCTGTCTGTGGCTGTTGTTGTTGTTGTTGTTGCTGCTGCTGCTTCTGCTCCTTCGTGCTACTGTGCGCTTTTAATTTGCACGCTCGACGCGCTCGAGCTGCTCTTGGTTGGAGTTGTTTATGGTATGTTTTGTGGTTGGAGGGCTGCTGCACTGGCTCCAGTTCTCCAGTTCAGGCCCCAAGTCGCTCTGTCTATTCGCTTGCCTATTTCAAATTATTATTTATTGTTATTATGCTACCGTCTGCTACCTTCTACAGCCGTTTTCGTTACTAAATTAATGGCAACTTTAATTTATTATCATCATAATCATTTTCTCGACGTTCTAGCCAAGCTACTGTGTAGCACCTACCTCCCTGCCTGGCTGCCCAGCTTCTATGCTAACTATGATAATTTTCTTTGCTTTTCCTTTTTGCACGCTTTGCTGGCTGTTTGCTTTTATTTATTTTTCTATTTTGCTATTATTACTTTTTTTTTGTTCTTGATTTTGTTGCTTTCACGGTCCAATTTGAGCGCATGTGTGTGTATGTGTGTGTGTGCTGAAATGACAAGAGCAGAGTAGAAAGAAATTTCGTTAGTTAATTATATTGCAAAGTGTGAAAATATATTTTGCTTTTTATTTGCTTTGCCGGAAACCGAGTGCCTTGAACTAGCTCGCCTGAAGTCACAGCCGTGCAGATTTCTAATTAAATTTGTGGCCAACGTCCAGCGGATGTGTTAGATCCAGAGGCGCACGTTGTTTCCAACCATGACTGTCAGTTGAAGCTGTCAGCACTCGGCGGATGTCACAGTCTATTTCCGCTTGGCTTACCAGCCGCTTGTAAACTACTTATTTCTGTCAGTGTATGTTTTGTTAGGGTACTTAATTTAATTTGATTTTGATGGTCTGACAGTCGGAGAATCGACTGTCCAAAATACCAGTACTTGTCGCAATGACAGCACACATCCATTTATTATTGTCAAACTTGCGCAAGAATATCATTTTTTTCCCCACTTTTTTGTTTCTTTTTGGTTTGGCGTGGTCAACGACATCGTCTGGCCCATAAGTGACCATATAATAACTGTAGTTAATCATTCTTATTTACAATGAAAATAATAAAATGTTCTTAATAATTTTTCTTAAATATATACTTTTAAGTGTGTAAGATAATATCAAAGTATAATTTTATTATTCATGGCAGATTTTTTTTTAAATATCTTTGAAAAATTGAATTATCAAAGGTAGTTCATTAATTTTTCCATGACATAAAGTGATCAAACTGATCCCCAAAAAACATTAAAAATTCAATCATTATAGTATTAGTTTTATTAAATAGTTATAGGTTTATTTTACTTATATCATCATTTGATATAGACTATTTTTTTAAAGCCCATTTTACAGCTCTATTTACCATAGAGCATATGTTATCAATATAAAGTTTTTGCTTACAATACCGCAAACATAGTCTCACTGTGCACTGTGGCACTGTCAAAACAAGTGTTCAACCGGCATTAACACTGAAACGCCAGTTTGGCTAAATAGTTAACTGAATTTAGCACAGAGACCGACTTGGCGCTGCAGTCCCAGACCCACTTTGTACACCAACTAGCCCGCTAGCTCCCCCTATTTGCCCGTTGGTCAACTTGAAAGAAAAGCAATTTTACTGCATATTTAATGGGAGAGGCAATGCGGCGGCAATGCCGGTCCGCTAAATAGTAACTGTTATTTAGTTTTTCTTTGGTTTTCTTTGGCTGATCTTTGCGTGTGGAGCAGAGTGAATCGCTGCTCAGGCATTAACTTCCTCATATGCGGACAAGGGGGATGACAATAACGCTGGCGCGAGTTGGCCAACGGAGCACAATGTAAAATGAAATAAAATGAAAACAAATAAAATGTGAAACTTGTTTTCGCCGTTGAACTTGCACTCGTTTCGGTTTTGGCCAAATGCGTTGTGCTAGTCTCTTTAACACTTGGCAAGAAATAAAAGTTGTTATTATTTACTTGCTAAGAAAATGCTTGAAATTTGTTGCACTATTTCACTCGCGAATGCGGCACGCAACTTGGCCGAAAGACATTCACATCGACATTGGACACGTTTTGCCGGTTTTACTTTTGGCTTGAATTCTGTTTGCGGCTCACTGTGTTTGTGTGTTTTAGCGAGCGCGAGTGCGAGTGCGAGTGCGAGTGCGAGCAGCTCTTGATTGTGTTAATTAAATTTTAATTATGCGCAATTATGTATAATTAGACTTCAACGCTGAATGCTGTGCACCACAGCGTTGCCACAGCGTGCACGCGTTGCCAATTTATTTTTCCCGTTGTATTCCTGGCTAATCGCTGGATTTGATTTGTTGGCCTTATCGCTGAACTTGTCATCGCCAAAGGTTACTACCAGCTAAGCATTATTTAAACAAATTGTATGCATTAGTCGCCCGAACGTGTATTAATTGCTGCCTATGACTTAGCCGCCCAGACTATTTAGGCAAATGATAGGGGCTAGTAAATATAAACTTAATATGTGTGTGCGTGTGTTCGGCAACATTCTAAAATGTATTTATCTCTGCCATTCTTCTTTTGTAAAAGGTATGTCTTTTCACCTCTCACCCGACTTTTAAGGTGTTTTATCTGCAATCTTTGCAATAACTTTTGAACTGCGGACTTTATAAATAAATTGTTTCAGGGCGAGTGGTGATATATGTTAACAGAAAAAAAGAGACATAGCCAGAAACAAATGTGGTATTTAAAAAAAAGCACCGAATAAATACCACAATTTATTAAGTTTGTTTGGAAATAGACAAACAACCCAGGCTAGCAAAAATATATTTGTGTTCGTTCATGTTGACTTATTTCGTTTTATTTAAAAAAAAGTTGCAAATGATTATATTCAAGCATAATATATATACTAATATATATACTACGTACATATTGGTTATGCTTAGCCCCACTAGAGAGCGTAACCCATACAACTTTCCAGTTATGTGGTTTAGTTCTGGACTAGTTCGCTATGTAACCACAAAACCACATTGCCACCCGGAGCCACTGGCAAACGTGAGACGTTCAAGTCTAGTTTGTAATCATAGCAGACCTTTTACGAGCATGTACAGCGCCAGCTATTGCGAAGGTCAGTGCGAATAATAATATTACGATGAATTTCTTTCTTTTTGTAAGTTGTTATAGTTTCAAATATTTTAGATATTTTTTTAGTTTGCTTTTGACATTCACTCAGCTGAAGAGTAAGCCGCAAAAAATTATAAACAAATATATAATTTATATTCCATAATTACTAAAATGAAAGTCGATTTGCTGTTTGTGGTTGTACCTGAACTTGGATTGGGTACATAAATGTATTGGGGTTTTTTTTGCATTTGCATATCAAATCGATGCGTAATAGCGGAGCACTTGAAAATTTGGCTAAAAATATTGATTTTTATGTAGGTTAATCCGTCTTTTTAGGTTTTGTGTTACATTTGACAAATTAATACGCAAAAATGGGTGTTTGTATATATTTCTTTTGGTTTGCTGATTGATTTATTTAAAAATAGCGCCAACGTGTGGGTTGAGTCGTGTAAAAATGCTTGGCCATATTTATTTTTAAACGGAATTTCGAGCAGGCGTCACACAGTGGCATTGAAAGTGCGTAAGTAAGCTACAGAAAAAAAAGTAACATAGCTAAAAATATGTCAATTAAAAAGCCTATGGGTAAAAAGAATCTGTTTCAAAATCGTTGCGGCTCAGTTTTGTTATTTTTAGCGCGTGCGCAACAAAAATCGTGCAACAATTGACCGATATGCAAATCTTGTTTGTTTGCAGTTCACTTGTTGGACTCAAAGATTTGCATAATTGGCGCACAGTCGTATGTGTTTTTTTCGTGTGTTCTTATTTGAATTTTCTCAATACAAACAGAAACAGAAGCACGCGCGTGTCGGACCATGCGTCAGTTTGACAGCCACCATAAATACTAAAGACTTAGGCAACAAACTTGGTTGCAAGTGTGAAAAAACTTCGGTAGCAAGCAAGGCGACACCAATCAAAAACTGGATATACATAAAAAAAACAAATATCTCAGTGCTATATATCATTATTTGCTACAGATTTGTCGATAGCTAGATAATTTTAATGACATAAAATGTTGCAATCCTATAAGATATGATATTCGTATACTTTTTACCGTGTTCAATGGTAAATAATTTAATAGGCTTAATGGAAATTCTTTAAAAAAAAAGTTGTTAATTTGTATAGCACGCAATTTTAATAAAATACAAAATGTTATTCTTTTTTAAAATTTTTAAATTCCTATTTTTCTGAAATCTGCACATATCTTTTAATTAACGCTCAGCAACAATTATTTACTTCCTTGCTTTGTCAATTTATTTAAGTTTTATGCTTATCTGTTCTCCTTTCAGCATTAATCTTTGACTTCAAACATTGGCCGATTTTTATACATATATGCACGTACAATATACATGTCTCAATTTTCAGTATCTGAAATCTCTTTGATGTTTGGCTCAATCTTTCAGCAAAACTCTTGCTACAATTCAATTATAAATACTTTTTGATTAAAGTGCCGCACATTAAAAAGCAACGCCCCGTACTTCAAGTGATATATATATATATACATATGTATATATCTATGTATGTATATAGAGCTTGCTATATGCATACACTCTCATATAAAAACCGCAAGTTGGCTGGCAATTTGTGTGCTTTTGTGCTTCCGTCTGCGTCATTTTATCCATATTATAAATCTAACTCGATACCAGAGGCTGTGCTATTGTTGTTGTTGGTTTTATTAAGATGTTTTGTTTGCGGCTTTTTTCTATTGGAAAATAAATTCATTTTTAATATATTTTTTTTTTTACCTATTTACAATTGTTTCAACTATTTTGTGGTCGCCGCGCACCGCAATGCTTTCGTTTAGCGTCTGTTATTGTGTACACGCAAATGTATCTTTTGGACTTACTCCGACTTCCGCATGGGTAGCTGAGGGTGGGGGGTGTGGCTAGGCAAATGCGCAAATCTTTTAATTATATGGCGCATTATAAGGCGACCCGTTGAGCACCCGCACTTGCTGCTTGTGGGCGTTCTCCGGTTATTTGCATTGATTAATTAGTTAAATGAGTCAATTGCATTTAATTAAGCGACATTTATTGAACAGAAATTTATGGCTTTGTTAATGTAATGTGCTGTTAGACAGTTGTAAAATGAATGGCAACTGGTTTGCTGCACGTT